CTTCCCCTTCCCCTTCCCCTTCCCCTTCCCCCTATTCTTACACAACTCAACCCTACAAATCAGTCACAGAAAAAAATAAAAAATAAAAAGGGGTACACACACACACATATATATATATATATAGAAATATGTATATATATACACTCTTCTGAAAGACTAAAAAGTAACTTGCTCAAGGTTTTAAATAAAAATAAAACGTGAAGCTGACAGACGAGGCGAGAACTCTTGAGGCCCACGGAGAAGGGAAAAGGAAAAAAAATTTATCGGTGTTACATTGGAGATGTCAATTGATTGTTCTTCGGGGTATTTTGTAATATAACCTTTTCAATCTCCCCATTTGTTCTTCCGATTAACTTTAAAGTCCCCAAGAAAGGCCCTTTGTACATAGACTTTTCCGACTCATCATTGCCACGAAATGGTAAAGCATTCTCCAACAAATATCTTCAAACTTCAAAGAAAGCATTCAATCTCATGTGGTACTCGGTCTTCATGAGTTCTGTTTGTTTACGAAGGGCAACAACAATTGATTGGCTTTGGTTAACCAAATCTTCACATTTTTTAAGTGCTTTATGGTGAAAAGTATTAACCTCACCCTCATGAAGCATAAGTCTATCTTTTTTACTCCAACTATTAAATCCATCCGCCACAAATGCATCTATCCCATGATTCCCACCTTGGTCTCTGAACAAGTAACAAGGCAAACAATATGCTCTATCTACTTTTACACTATATTCCAACCACTGAAATTGATCAAACCAAGTAACAACAAACCGTCTCCCTTTAGCCCCTATAACCTTGGTTGGAAAGATGTGACCTCGTGGTTGACAAGGACCCCTTACCAAGTATTTCCGTCTAATTTCGTCTCTTTGATTTGGGTTATAACTTATAATTTTGGGTCTCTCTGATGGATTCCAAGGAAGATCGTTAACATCAATCACATTGTTGGATGCATCATTATTACCGGTTGATGATGAAGCTTTTCGTTTCAAATATTTTTCCATAATGAATGAGAATCGTAAATCTAAGTAATGAAAACAATAATAAGTAATTAGTAATGAGTAAATTTACTCAACATATGAAAACTAAACATCTATCAAGTATCAACTAACAACTGTTGTATTTTGATCAATTTCACAATTTGTATTTTGCAAATCAATAGGCACTTAGGCAGTAACGGTAACTCAGTAGACACTAGACAGTAGCTCAATCAATTTCATCAAGAGTAAATAATCAACTAAAAGTAATCATTAATCACTAATCAAGTAAATAATCAACTAAAAGTCTAATAAGATTAACTGATGTCTGATACTGATTAAGAGTAAAAAACAAAAAATGTATACCTAAACCTAATCGAATCGATTCTGAAATCTGAATAATCGTCCGAGTGACGGAGTGAGTTAGTGAGAATCGTTCTTCGAGTGAGTTTCGATTATGAATCGTCCGAGTCTTCAAGAATCAAGACTCGTTCCAAAATCGGATCGACTCTTCTTGTTGACAGTGTCCCCGGTGGACCTGGTTATCGGTCGGCTTGTCGTTCACGCTCGTCACTCACTCGCTCAAGATCATTACTCGCGTCGCTCACTCACTCACTATTCGCACAAGGTCGCATCGCACAAGGCCAGCCTGCCAGGTATAATCTGTATACGATTTAGGGCTTTAGGAAATTAGGCCCTAAAGGCTTTAAGCCTTAAAGACTGTTGCTATTTTTTGGGCTTACTCATCTTATCACCTTTTGGAGATGTTAATAAGTTTAATTGGGCTTTGCATTTTATTAATTTGGACAATTGGGCTTTATTTTGTTTGGGTTTTAATTGCTATGTTTGAATTTTAGGAAAAATATGGTAATACCTTTCAAAATAATACTGTAGCACCTTCCAAAATAATACGGTAGCATCGTTAACAAACCTAAAAATTTTACCCTTTGGTGGCGAAATAATACGGTGGCACGTGCCACTCATACCACTACTACAAGTCCGCCCCTGCCAAAAAGTACTTACTGATTGGTGTCAACACTATAATAAATTTTTGAGTAAGATTATAGTGCTTCAAAACGATATAGTATACAACAAATTAATCCAGTAAGCACTTATGCGAGTAAGAGTCGTCATTTTCACTTGCTGGGTAAGAATCTCCATCCTTTCACCACTCTTACTGGGTAAGACTCTTCATCCTTTTACCGCTCTAACAGGGTAAGATTCTAAACCCTTACCATGTTCATCCGATAAAGAAATTTACCCGGTAAGCAGTTGCTGGATAAGCGTTTAGTATTTGACATATTACTTTTTGATTATATCTTTTATTGATTTTCAATTAGCTAGATGACAATCCAATTTGCTTTGGTGATTATATTGGAAATATGACAAAAATATGAAATCAAATTCTTGTATATTTCGGATTCTTAATTCCAGATATTGATTCCAAAAAGTGAATTCTAATGTCAAATTCATATGGCAAATCCGGATGTAAAAAACCGTTTCTCGAATATGAATTATAAATCCGATTAAAAATCCGATTTCTATTATGTTTAACAAATCTGGATGATAAGACTCGTAAGAAGAACAATTCGGATGTAAGAGTTAGTCCGAACTGTTTGTTTCTTCATACAAGATTTTAAGAATGTTTCTAAGTGTTGGATGAAATGTATTTGTGTTATTATCAAATCAAATAGTTAAGACAAACTGTTGGTCCCAAAAGGGTCTACAAGAATACTAAACAG